CACCCCATTGGAGTCCTTTCTAGCAATGGAGCAACAACAGTCTTATGTTTGCATTAAGATCTGATGAGGAGCAAAGGTCAGGCCTGCTGCCCTTCCTAGTCAAAGATAAAACTATCCATGGTAAGTAACCCTTTAATATCCAGGGGTGAGACTGGAAAAAAAATCATCAATTTGTAACCAGGACTCCTTTTGGCTTACTCAGGCAAAAACGAAATTTTATTTTATGTCTGCAGCCATCCCTTATGGCTGCCCACAGGCTCTGTTTAAGAGCCCTGGTCCCGGACTGCAGCCAACCAGCTTTTCCCTGGTCTGCGGGAGGCCCTACCTGGGCCCAAGTGCTTTGTGTCTGCTCCAGAGTCTTTCCATCATTCCTTGTGTCTTCCCCATTTGTGGCCATCCATATCAGCCTGCCATAGATTTATATTTATGCTAGGGTGAAAAATCTACTTTGAATTTTAACAGAATAATTCAAAATTTCTATGAGTAGAATACTTTCTTCTTGCAAGATAAATAATAGTGCTGATTATTTAGATAGAGAAATGATAACTTTAGCTAGTCAATGGTGACATGAATAGTTGTGTAGGTAGAAGTAAGGTTGCAGACACAGAATGGAAATTAAACTCAAACTGTCTGGCCCAAGATTAAGAGAACCGAAGCAGAACAGAATCATACCGTGGCTCTCGCAGATAAGAGAAGCACCCTTATCTGCGACATCACCCTGTTATAAGGCTCACATGAGTGCTTATGCATTAAACTTTGGGCGTCGGTGTAGACCCCCAGACAGTTATTTTAGAAGTGTTTGCTCACACTGGGGCTTTGTTTCATCTCTAGCTTAGCAGCATCTATTCTTATTAAATATAAAGTTCTCTTTGTGGCTAGGAAATTGATTTGGCATAGTAATTGTGTTTGAACCTAAAAACAGCAAGTTCTTGCATTTTATATTATACATATAATTATTAAGATTTTTAGAGACTATTTTTAGATTAAGATGCCATCCTTTATGTTGTTTTTAGGAATGAATTCAGAGGAAGTAACAAGAGCAACAAACTTTGCATATTTATAAGAGAACAATTATTTGAGGTTGGTGGGCCTTTGCCTTAGCTCTCTCCATGACACATAAGGGAGACCTTTGATCACAGTAGGAATTTTCTTCTAGGCTGGAGCACAGGCAGACACTGCATTTCCAGAGACATCCTACTTTTCACTTGGATGCCTGGATTAGGGGCCAAGAATAGTTGTAAAAATGACAGGTGAGCTCAGAAACAATTATGATTCTGGCTGCGACACATCACCATTGTTGTATGGTATCAGCATAAACTCTATAGGTACACAAAACTATTGGTTGGGTAGCAAGATGACGGATAGATAGATGATATAGGTAGATGATGATGATGATGATGATGATAGATAGATAGATAGATAGATAGATAGATAGATAGATAGAGATAGGTGATAGAGATAGATAGGATGGATGTATAGATAGATAGTAGAGATAGATGATAGATGGATAGATGTATCTATCTCTACATATGTGTGTGTGTGTGTGTGTGCGCGCGCGCGGCCCTGCCAAATCCTGGTCCTGGATTTGGCAGACAAGCCCTCTTGCATAAGCCCCTATGGAAGGCTCTTTAAAACAATTATCTCAGCAGAAGCCATTACTTTCCACTCCTAATACTATGAGGTTTGTGTGCTCTTCTGGACAAATACCTACAGTTTTATAAATAAACCCTAATGTGTAGAGTAGTAACTCAGCTTCTCTATTTTATACTAATTCAGTGCCTACATTTAAGCTGTGGTTTTTCTTCCTGGGGGTCCCTAACTTTGTTTTATGGAATTTGTGCACAAGCTCTTAAGTGTTGAATAATAGAAAACTAAATAAGAATCAAACTCATATTTTTTTCTAATTTGATTTTTAAAAAGTCAATTAAAAAATGAAAAAATATTAAATTTCTAGGCATTAAGGAGTTTCACATTTCTGTAACTTTATTACAGGTGGGTGATATAATACTAGCAGACCTGATTTCCAGCACTGAGGCAACTTTAAGCTGAAACTTTCTGCATTATTTCACTTGATCTTAGCCAAAAGGCCGAGAAGCAATATGCATTATTTTATTAAAGTGATTAGATATTTAGGTCAACAGCAGGTTGAAAAGACTTGATTCAGTGTGGATTTTATTTGGCAGAGAGAAGAATGAGAATATCTGAGAGAAAATGTTCCAAGTGACCATTCTTTTACATGTCAGAAATTGTAGAAGTGGTTTATGCCGTTGTAAGTTCTTTCAAATGTAAAATAAACACTTCCAAGGAGGAAGCATTCATGGTTTTGTCCCTATTGTTTTCTACCAGTTTTCTTGCTCCAAAGAGGGGCATTTCTGGAGTCCGTATGTCTGGAATTGGGGGTGACAGCTTCACCTTTGGAATAAAGGTGGACAGAAGAACTCCAATAAGATGTCCAGGGAGTCAGGAATGACCCAGATGTTGTAAAGATTTTAGAAAAATTTAGAACCTGTGTAACGTGTTTACATGTTGATTATTCCCTTTAGTAAACCAAAGGAAAGCAAGTAGTATTGGAATCCTGGGTGCTATTTTTCGAAGGTTTCCATAGGCTAAAGCATGGATGGAGATGACATCTACCTTTTTGAGAGAATAATCGTCAAGAATCTCAGAGATTTGGGGCGGCTTAGCAGAGAGGACGCGGCCACCAGTGGTCCTTCTTGTCTGCCCTTCCAAGTACTTCACTATCTTCTAAAGAAGTATTAACAAAGACTTCTAGAATAACAGGTTAATAGAACAACAAATGATTTGCCTGCTAAAGGAACTCACAAGTCTATTCTTTTTTAATTAAATTTATTGAGGAGACATTAGTTAATAAGATTATATGTTTCACATGTACAATTCTATAATACATTGTATATTGCACTGTATGCTAACCACCTAAAGTTTAGTCTCCTTACGTTCCCATATATTTGACCTCCTTTACTCTCACAAGTCTATTTTCGTTAATAGTCTCCATGGTGAGCTTGTGTTAGGGGTGGTATCCGAAGCCTGTGATCATCATAGGCAGGTAGGTGATTTTTCTATGGGCATAAAATGGTTCTAAAATAACATTTTCATAGAGATCAGCTCTGTGGATGACAACGCAATTTTTAGTGTTTTCTGAATCCTGATTATTTCACTTAAGAATGTATGGATTCTGAATATATTACTGACAAAACAATTATATTTTGCCTGAAGAACTAGCTTCAAACCCACTTTTTTTCTTTCATGAACTTGAATCTCAACTAAGAAGAACCTTCTTAGTTTCACGAAAAAAAAAAAAGTTTCCTAGGCTGCAAATGGAAAAAAAAAAATCTTTTTAGATAATCTCAGGGCTCAAGTGAAAAAGAGGCAAAATGCAAATGTCTGACTTTTCCTCCATGACTCAAACAGTCACTCCAGGCAACACGATGCGGCTTATGCTTGTGGCTTAAATGTTACTCATGATATTACAAAACACCTTTTTCAATGATAACCCAAGAAAACAAAGTTCTTAGGAGAAATAACCAGTTGGAAGCTTTCCAGGTAGAATTACCATTATTGTCTATGAATTTCTTAAGCACATGTGTCTAACTCTACAGTGAAGCAATGGCATAAAAATGCAGCAACAACTTTACCTTCATGAATAAATCAAATGTTGCCTTTGGGTCATATTTTGTCAGAATAATATTTTCTTCAAGATCTTTGCTCTTTTCATTACATTTCTTCAGCAGAAAATCTGACAAAAATTCCAGAGGTTTGTCCTGAAAAATCCACACCCCACCCCCCAGAAAAAAAAAAAATCCTGTTTAAAACATTTATCTGAAATATAGGTCAATGGAAGCACAGTAGAAATTACAACATATTTTTAGTAGAGTTTTCAGCTTTCTACCTAATTAATTTATAAGTCCAGCAAACAAAGTAATGATTGATTATTCAATTAGAGTCAGTAAATGAGACTTTCTACTTAATTGCACATTTCAGTTGCCATATATACTCTTGGTTCTCAATTAATTGTCACCATTCAGTTAGGAGGCCAAGGTCTTAAGGAAGGGTCTCGAGATCTTCAGAACCAAAGTGGTCCTCACCGCCCCCTTGGCCATTTGAGAAAAGAGACAGGAGGGATCTTGTCTTTCAGAGGAAAGAAGGCCTAAAGAGGCTAAGCAGCCAAATTATTGGGAAAAATACCCTGTGAAGCTCCCAAATTTCGTTTCCTCTCAGGCTACAGTTTTGGGCACTACAGAAATTACATCATACTTTTAAATAATTAAGTGGCAATAAGTACACTGAACCCACGCCAAACAGGTTTAGTAAATCTTTGGTGTTTCAGGAGACAGTACAGGATATTCCAAGGCCCCAGCGTCGTCCCTGTGAACATCTCTGATCATTTCATCAGCAAAGCTCACCAGGGCCTTCATCCCTGAGCTGCCCCAGTGATGGGCTGGCTAGGGTGCTCGGAGCTGAGTCTTCAGTGGAGGCAATCAGGGATAAGTGTAACTTCACGCCACATAGCTAACCCCGGAGATGCCTGGTGCTTACCCAGGAGGCCAAGTTGAAACCAAAGCAGACACTCATCTATCTCCTGTGATAGATAAGGAGCATATATGCAAAGCAGAATGTATGTAAAACCAATGTTAAATCCACCCACAAAGTAGAATTACTACAAAGAAAGAGAAGGATTTGAGAATCTCTCTTTGGAAAACTAAAGACCTTAAATAGCGTTGGGTGTGTTGGTATCATCCCTGTTCCCATCCTATTCTCTACTTCTCCAGACCAAGAGCTGCAGATTTAATTTCCCTATAGCCTTGCTATCTCTGGTCTTGGGGGCAAGGGTGTGTTCTGTACACTGCCTCTCTTCACTCCGTCCGGATGTGTAGACTGACTTTTCTGGGAAAGTATCCAAGATTTGTTTGTAATGAAAATGCTTCTTCAGGCTTCCCCTATGTTTGTCCCCAACCAAATTACTGATTTGTCTATTTCTGTTCTTTTGTGTGTTTTTTTTTTCCTTTCCTTCTCTTCTAGCCTTCTTTGCCCTCTATCTTTTTATATCTACTTTCACACTTTCTCAGTTTTTCTGTCATAATATTAATTATTTTAACTGTTGAATAATGGTTATATGAGATATGAAGCCACTAACTGCTTCTTAAAGATGTCACTTCTTACTGAAATTAATCATAAGACAGAAAACAGTGCACAATGCAGTCAACTTTTAAATAACCTCGAAGATTTGTCTATTTTGTGTACCTAATAGATCTTGGGTCCAGAATCATTCAGTGGCTGTTTTTAGAAACTGATGTAATTTTTCTGAGGAATTGTACCCTCGAAGGGATAAATTGGTTAAGAATAAAAACACAATAAATACAAACTAAACATTTATTTAAGTGTTGGGGTTGTATAGTGTGCTCTCTTAAAAAAAAAATACTTACAGAATTTTCTTTTGAAAGCTCCATCAATCCGTCTGCCAGAGCTTGTGCAATTTCTTGGTTATTCAGAATGTTAGTCATACTCATTGTGTCAAACATAAACTGTCCTGTAAATACAAGGTCATATGCCTTGTAATTGATTTACATAAGAAATGTGATCAAAAAGAAAACAGCTCAGTCCTCATAGTTGCTTTTTAGTAGATAAAAATGCACATAGTAAAAATTAAAATTCTATTATGCCTTGAGGGTTATCTACCATGATAAAATATAAAATGAGCAAAAGCAACTAATGTGTAACATACAAAAAAACACCCACTTTGGTGTTGAAAATCTATAAATTCAGATATTTTATAAAGAGAACATCTGAAAATGAACCTTATATGTTTAAATTTTAGATTCTCAATCCCACCAAAGAGTCCTCCACGCTCCCTTTTATCTTTGTGCTCAAATACATAAATAATTTAAGTCCACTGAAAAATAACAGACAAATATACATATACAGACATCTTTTATATTTAAAAAATTATTTTGTACAATATGCATTTATATGAAAAGAATTTTCTTCAATTCCACTTCTCATAGTTTACATATCTCATCAAAAAAATTGCTCCTGTCCTTAAAAAGCTAATTTTCCTCCTTTCTCTTTAGTTCATAACAGCTAAGAATAAACCAGAAAAAAATAATTTCTCCCTGTTTATACTTTCATAGCTATTCTTAAGTAGTGGTTGAATATCTACTAAATGTAGTTAAAACCCAAAAGACTAACCCTTGTTTTGGATGCATTTATGTAAAGAGAAGTAGGATATATATTGACATAAAATATCTGCATGCATACTTGTGGTTATGGCTCTTTTGTAGAAAGAAACTGTGTAAACAGATGTTAAACAAGGAGCAGGGTAGGGGGATGGAAGAAAGGAAGTAAGGCATTTATAAGGTGTTTTATTTAGTCAGATGGGAACAGTTAAGGAAAAAATTAAATAGACAGTTAAAGTGGAGGGAAAACTCATTTACCCAGATGGTAAAAAAAAAAAAAAAGACAAAAAAACGTATTTTAAAGAATGGAATGATTTAGGTGATGTTCCAGTTGACACAGGAAATTGTTTCCCAATAGGCTCGCCCAGCAGAGGACCATAAAGGCCATTGCCAAATTATGGATTGTAGGTAGAGGTAGCACAGAACCGTAGAATAACTTTAGTAATGGGTGCTGCAGTTAAGAGGCACTTAACTTTTAGAGTAAATTGTTGTGGGAAAAGGACAGAGTTCTCTGGCTTAGCAAACTTAGCAAATTTTGCCTAGGTAAGTAACTGACTGACATAATATTAATAGATATTAAAATCTGAAGCCAGAAACTAGCTTCAGCATTTTGGAGATGAACATATTTATTCACCTTTATATTTATTTAATATGTATTCTTCGTAGATATCCATGATATTTGAAAAGAGATATGAAAGACAAAGGGGATTGTTTTGCTGAAGATGCTTAAAAGTCAACTTTTACTTGCCATTCCTAAATGGCAAGTATTCACTCTGGATATGAAACGAACTTCTTAATCAGTCTGCAACAGTAGCAGCAGGAGTTCTTACCTATCATCCTGCCACCGATGTTCCTCTGCAGCCCCTTGAAGACCGGACGTAACTGTTTCCTTACTGCTTTCAAGGTGTCTTCCAGGAAGTCCGTGAAGCTGGACCACGTCTGCAACTTTGATTCGCTGAAGTAGATGAACGGGGGAGCCCCTTCCTGCTGCTGTCCCAGCCAGTCACTAAGAACTGACATTATTTTCTCCTTTTATTTTTGTAGTCAAAAGCTCAAATGAAAGACTTCTATTTCTTGTTGATAGCACAAAAAAAACTTAGTTGTATTTATATCAAGCTTATTATCCTTTCTCATTAGAAGACTAAGATAAACACCTGTAGTCTGCTTTCAAAGATAAAATTAGAAATTCAAAAAGGACATACGAATAATTTTAAATGCCTATCTACCCTTTGATAGATAAGGTTGACATATTTGAAATAAAAAATTAAATAGCTGCTGGATTTATGCATCGGGAAGCAGAGCAGACATCTAAGGAAGAATATACTGTTTTATGTTTAAACCCTCAAAGTGAAATACAAGAAAACCCTACACTGCCATCCAAAGTGATCCCTGTCATAGCCAGTCTGTATCTTTCTTACATTATGCCAAGCTGCTCTCTCTCCCTACAAATATCTCTACACGACTCTAGTGGGTGCTTACTTAAGTTTCTTTCCTTGAAAACAATTGCTGAATGATATAGTGCCATGTTAAATTTTATTCTGTCCTGAATAGATAAGATAGACTTTGATTCTGCTCCTCCCGTGTTTATTGCTAAACATGTGAAAATATTTATAACTGTTCCTCTAGCGAAGAAGAAGAAGAAGAAAAGAAGAAGAAGAAGAAGAAGAAGAAGAAGAAGAAGAAGAAGAAGAAGAAGAAGAAGAAGAAGAAGAAGAATTCAAATAACCAAATTTCAGCAGCAGCAGCAGCAGCAGCAGCAGGAGCAGCAGCAGCAGACGCCAATGAAGAAGACGAAGACGACGAAGACGATGAAGATGACGAAGAAGACGAAGAAGAATAGGGAAAGGAAAATGTACCAAAAGAAGAGGAGACAAAGGAGTAGAAAAAGAAGGAAACCTGTTTCATGAACTGCGCAGTGTCTGTGCCCTGCTATACTCTGCCAGGCTGATTCCTCTTTCCACAGGGCAAAAATGTTATCATTTGGTGATGCTGCTACATAAACTAAAATTAACAAGTGACTTCTGTTACAAACCATATTAAGTCAATGTGCCTTTTGTTATATCATTTTCTTTACAAGTTTCCCAATCATGCCAGCTTTCCCCAGTCTTGAAAAGTCCTTGGCATTTGGGATTAGAAAAGTAATGTTTTATATAGTTTCTACATCACCCCAAGCCCTGGTTGATAAGAGGCGAGGGAGTTTTAAAGAAGAAAATGATTAGCGTTACTGTCACAAAGCACTCTGGTTCTTTCGTTAGTCAGCCAATGTTACATTTTGATCCAGTATCTTCAGCTTTAGAATCTAAATGAAACTTTGCTTTCAGGTGTATTTTATCACTGACTGTTTTTCCTCTCAGGTAATGCTACTGAAATAGAACCTGATCCAGCCTTTCCACCATCTCTTTATAGCTGCTGTTGATTTTTCCAAATGAAATCATACTGATTATATTTACTAAGAAAAATTATTCTTTGGACTTATTATTTTTCTAGATCAGCAACTATACATCTTTGTTTAACTGCTAAAGATGATGTTTTCAACTGAGTTTTTGTAAACAATGGGTTGAAGCAAATGTTTTGCAATAAATAATCCCCTTCTAAGTGAATGACTAAGTGATAAGAAATGACACAGTTTAAGAGAAGGAAGGAAAGACAGTAATTGACGTCAGCCAGAACCAGTATTATTAGCTGTGCTTAGTCTTTTGGTGATCTAGGAGTTAGTGGGTGTTACTGGACAGGATGGTCAGCCCCCATATACACTTACTGTGTTGGTAAGAGCCAGTTGCAATCCCAGTGGGAGCAGTAAATAACGTGCCAGTTAGCTGAGACAGCTGAGAAAGAACTTCTAGTCCTGCCTCTGCACAGTCAAAAATACTTTTATTAGTTTACCCACAGGTTTTGCCATGGAACAGTTAAGTATTAGGAGCAGTAATAAGCTGGCCTAGAAAGGCCCCCAGCACTTCTTGTCTTCCATTCAAATACCTCATGGAACAGTCCCTCAACGCTTTATAGTTCACCCCTAGGAGCTGAAGTCCAGACACTTAATTTATAAAGACTGGACAACAGGGTGGAGAAAGAGGGCATAGAGTTTGACCTGGTGCTTATTTTCAAATTTAGGAACTCAGGCCAAAGACAGATAAAACTCTACATATATTTTCTAAAAATAGACTGACTCAACGGAGAAGTCTCCTTGTAAAAGGAAAGATTTAAAACTGTTAAACACAGAAGGAAATAAAATGGTCAAAATTTAGCATGGTATTAATTTCTTTCCTTCAGTGACACATTATATAGATGGAAGTATGTTCATTATCTTGATTGTTTTATGGTTTCTCAGGGTATTATACATATGCACACTTTAAATATGTACAGTTTATTGTATGTCAATTATACCTTAATGAAGCTGTTTAAAAATTTTAACACGAGGCCCTAAAAAGATGAATTTTAGGTTTTTGGCTTATGAAGTAACCAGGTGAATGACTGTATCTTAAAAGGAATCCTGGGGAGGGGTAGGTTTGGTGCTGGGGAGGCAATAAAGAGTTTGCTTTATGCGTGTTAAATCTGAGATGCTATTAGATATGCAAACTGAACAGTCATATGAAGACGTGGAGTAGGAGCTAGACATGAGTCTACAGCTCAGAGCTGTCAGAGCCAGAAGCATAAATTTGAGAGTGTCCCGCATACGGACCGAATTTAGAGTTTCAGGAATTGATGAGACTGCCTCAGGGAAAGTCATGGAAAAGAAAAAAGCCCAGGCTCAACCCCTGGGCATATTTAAGGGTCTTGCTGAGGAGGAAGAAGAGCCAGCAAAGGAGATGAGAAGTAGCCACTGAGGTCGGAGGAAACCAAGAAGACTGTGGTATTATGGAAAACAAGGGAAGAGGAAGGTTTTCCAGGAGGAGGGTTCATCTGCATCCAATGCTGCTGGGAGTCAAAGCAACATGAGGTTGGAGAAGGGACCACTGGATCTGGGCACAGGTAGGAGTCGCTTATGGTCTTCCAAAAGCAGTTTCAGTAGAGATAAAGAAACCACTTGGACGAGCTTGAGGAGCGAGTGACAGGTGAGGAAGGTAGAGGCAGTTAGCACAGACCAATGTGGTGCCTGGATCAGCAGCACCAGCATCACCTGGGAACATGTTAGAAACGAAAATTCTCAGGCCCTATCTCAGGACTACAGAATCAGACACTCTAGGGTGGGGCCCAGCAATGCGTATTTTAACAAGCCCTCTAGGTGACTCAAATACACAATAAATTTGAGAACTACTGGTAGAGTCAAGTCAAAATGTGACGAGGGAAACTTTATGGTCTCTCTCCTTTTTTAGGACAGAAGCTACTACAGGTGTTCTTGATTTGATATGAATGATCCAATAGAGAGAGAGAATTAAGGCTACAGGAGAGGCTTTGAGCACAGGAGCGAAGTCGAGAAGATGAGGGTGATGGAATAGAGTCCAAGAGGGGAAGTCGATCTTTGATTTGAGCAGAGGTGCTTCCTCCGTTGTAGCAGAAAGGAAGACAGAGAATGAAGGTAAGAGGTGGGGTAGGTGTTAGATTTAGTGGTGGGAGGGAAATTAGGGGGTTTTCTTAGGGAAGTAAAAGGTGAGTTCAACAACTGAGAGAGAGGGTTATTGAAAGACTGACTAAAGGGAGAGGATGAAATAGTCCTCTCGAAGAGTGGGAAAATGAACTCATCAAGGAAACGTGGTAGGATCACTTATCAGTGCTTCAATCCCACTTGATATTTGTCATTAAAGTTAGATCAGTAAGACAGTTGTATCATTTTTTTCCAACAGTCTTCAGCTGCTTTAGTGCAGGTAGGCATTGATTATGAAGATGGTTGTGTTTTGACCACTGGCAGTTAGCCAAAAGCAGTTGAGATTTAGCCAGGAGAAAGAGGAACAAAGAAGTTCAGATTCTTTGCGAGATAGTAATGATAATGATGAACTATTAAATCCAAGTTTTACAAGGACAGAACCAAGGATGAAGCATGGTGATAGAGAGTAGAAAAGTGGGAGTGTGTGGATTAGAGGTCTTCAGGCAAAGAACTGCTAGAGTGGGAATACTGAGTACACGATTTGGAAGTGGTGCTCAGGGAGACAAATGCTTGAGATCAAGATTTCAGAGGTGATACAGCTACTGAGGATGACAAGCTCAGGAGTGATGTCTGAAGTGGTGGAAAAGAGGTTTTTGGACTGAGAAGCCAGGGTCTTCTGACTGAACCAGGGTCTCGATGGTTCACCCAGGTGGAAATTACACCTGACACGAAGTCCAGGGATACTTTTAAAGCCCGGAACGGTGGTGGGAAATCTATTGTTTGAATGCCATCAAGTATCGCTTGAGACAATTTTTATGTCACCAAATCTGTCGTTCCTTTCCCCTTTTGCCCTCATTCTCTGCCTTTCAATACTTTACTTTCCATATCCTTTCTTTTTCTTCTTTTCCAATTAAAAATGTGCTTGCTCTCGTTATAAAAGTAATACTAGTTTATTGCAGAAAATAGAGGCGAATAAGATAAAAGAAAGAAAGAAAAGGAAGGAAGTATCACTCATCATCTTATCCAACTATTGTTAACACCTTGGTAGACACCCTTCCCAACCCTTTTCCCGTTACACATCACCACCACTTTCCCTGCCCATATGCAGGTTTTAAACATTGGGGTCACACTATCCACATTCTCTGTAATCTTTTTAAAAACTGATTTCAAAACTAGAACATTTTAAAAACATGTCTGGAGATAGATTCTGTTATCATTTTGCTGTATTTCCTCATAGAGTTTTATGCATATTTTTCTACATAGTTGAGATTGTGTAAATGTAAAAACTGTAAAAAAAAAATTGCGATAATTTGTATTTCACTTTCTTTTAAACTCCTTCCCACCCTTTTCCCTGTTTGAAGCTTGCCAGGGGCACGCTCTGCATGTATTGAATAGTTCAGTGAAATTTGAAAAGTAAGAACTTTAAAACTCATAATTTCCTAAGGAATGGGTAATAAAAAACAATTTGAGAAAATTTAATTTCATACTCCCTCTCCCTTGTTCTGCTTGGCAACAAACAAACAAACCAATAGCCCGTGAATGCAGAGCTTTTATTTAACAGACATCTAAAAAGTGAATCTGATTTAATTTTTCTGAAATTTCCCTTCGATTACTGAAATCAACTTTAAATTATAGGTAGGCACTTAAAATTATATCGGCAACCTCAGTGATCAGCAACCACATTGGTCTTTACAAAGCACTTCACTGTGTTTAGTGTTCTAATAGTACGTGTATTATTATTTATGTGTACTTTTAAATTTTATTGTGATGGTCACAAGTTCTACAAGGCAAGGTACTATTATCCTCACTTTCATAGGAGAAAAGAGAGGTCCACACACTTGCCTAAGGCCATACAGCTAAAGTGGCATAAGTGGGATTCAAGTCCAGGTCCTTTCTCACCACGTTCATTCCAGGTCCAGAGGACAGCAAGGAGTTTTCTCAGACTGACCTATTTATGGTTCCTAGGCTGATTAGGCGCTTGCCCCTCTATTATGAAGGCTGACTTTACCGTATTTTCCAGAAGAAATAGCAATAATCTTCCTTGCTGGTTATTGTCACTAGTGACTTTATTTCTGCAGGGACAGGTTACTCTGACTACTAATCCCAATGCCCTGTCCCCCCTAAACACCTGAGTACATAAAGTACAAAGCAAAAAAGAATAAAGGGTAAATGTGACTGAATCATTTGAACGGAGAGCATTTCACAAATTTACAGAATAGCATCATAAAGAAGGTATGACCACTAACTTTCAAAGCTGACCTGATGCTCCAAGAGGCACAAAGAGGTCCACATGACCCCCTTCTTCTTTAGGGGCCACATAGCTTCCCAGTTTCTCCCAGAAGTCTCTCACTTCAGGCCTCAGTAAATTTTTAATACCAATTTTATAGCCTGAGAAAAAATCAAAACGTCATATTAATTTGTAACGTTATGATGAACAGAAACTCTTAGCAGTTTGTGAAAATAGAACCACATTTCAAAAAGCCATCATCTGCTCCTAAGGCCAAGATTCATAGGGCCCCTCTGCTTTGACGCTGTCCCATGTTAGGGTCACGAAGGTACCCATGGACTCCACCATGGCCACAGTCCCCTTTACATCCCGGATTTTTTGGACACTGTACACTTAGTTTAGGACACTGTGTTTCTGCCGTGTGGTTTACCAGGCCACAGCAGGGTTGATGGTGGAGGGCCAGTCAAGTCCTGGAATTTTGCAACCAAGTTCTAAACTAGAATGTTTCCCACAATTGTCAATCAAAAAATAAGCTGTGGAGAGCAGAAATGAGGCTCCTAGAGACGGTAAACATCACTGTATCGTTCACTTCCCAAGAACTGTGTGCAGTGATTCGGCGAACCCACACGTGTCTGGACCCATTTCTGAAAGGAGGCCTGACTCTGCACTCCTAAGCCCCAGAAACGAAAACAGCCAGGCCCAAGAATCCCGATGGGTCACTCCTTTGCATCAAGAGGTCTAGTTAAATAATGGAAGGACTTCAGGTGACTGGAGTAAGATATTTCATTTTGTTGTTTTTAAAGCAAAAGCTTTGGAGAAAACACCAAAATTATATAAAAGGAAACTTTACTTTTCTGAGGTATTTTTGTTACTAGGGGCTTTGAAGAGTGGGGAAAGGGGAGTCATTAATTAATGGTGTGATGGTTAATTTTATGTGTCAACTTTAGTAGACTGGGATGCCCAGTAATTTGGTCAAACATTTTTCTGGGTGTGTCTGTGAGAGTTGACATTAACATCTGAATAGGTAGACTGAATACAGCAAATTGCCCTCCCTAATATGGGGGGGCCTCATTAAATCAGCTGAAGGCCTGAATGGAACAAAAAGGCTGACTCTCCTGCCTGACTGCTTTGAATTGGGATATCAACCTTCTTAAAAAATTGGAACTTAAATAGTACTCTGAAGGTCATACATGTGAACAAATACTACATCAGTGCTAAATCGGTTGTTCTTTCCAATCCCATCTTACCTTGGAGTAAATTGATTTCTCTGCTATCTCCATCGCTAAATATTCCCATACTCTGTGCCTTCTGCCCATCCAGAGCTTTTTCTATGAGATAAAGCAGGCTCTCCAAGGTTATGCCACTGTGTTCATATACCACAGAAATGATACCTGCCTTAACACTGTCCACCACCATCTAGAAAATGAAAGCAAAACTGTAGAAACCAAAACCCATTATTTTAGACTATTTAGTAATAAAAGAAATTTAATGAATATGTAATCTGTGATTTTTAAAGACTCTTGTTTATTCCAGAAATTATGAAAAGAGGAACATAATCTTTCTCCTTTATTGGCTTTTGAAAAAGTATTTCTTTTCTAATTATAAGAGGAGAAAATTAAATATATTTGTAATTCCATCACTAAGAGATAAATATTATTAAGAAGTTAGGTTACTTTCTTCCAGTCTTTATATCTTTTACTCACCTATGCACAGAGACATATATGCAACTGTTAAAAAATAATAAAATTGAGATCATTCGATTTTGCAATAGACTTCTTAGTTTTCTTATGATTTTTGAAGTATAAATATTGATTGATAAATATTTTTCATTTAAATAAAAATTAAAACCACTGTTCTTTTAATTCAACAACAAAATAAACTTTTCATTGTGATAAAAGTTAATTCATTAGCAGCAGACATGTATATATGTTCATATATACATATATACGCACATATAAATACATGCTTCCCATGTCTTCTTTGTACTTCCTTATTTTTCTTATTATTCATATTAAAATTAAAATATAAGTTCATTATACAAAGAGCACATTTTAATTTAATGACATCCTCATTTAATAGATCACAAAGTAGGGTTTCTGACATTCTTTTGAGAGATGGTGGTTACATGATATTATTAAATTCATAGGCATTCCAAAGAAGTTTTAAAATAATCTGTAATCACCTTGCTCGTTTGTGGATTAAGTGCAACAAATTCAATAAGAATTTATTGGAAATCTAACGGCAAAGCAGTTTGGGCCTTTAATGCTTCTTTAAAAATAATTTTGATTTATGGTTATCTTTACTGCTTCTCATCTTTAAAACTGTTTTGGGTCTGTAAACTTCCGCTTAGATCAATTAGTTTTCTGTTAGGAGATGAATAATTTTCATACATGGTAGCCAAAAGACTGCCATATATCCTCTAGTGTAGATGAAAAAAACTGATTCAGAAAAGGCCTGGCCTCTTAACACACTCTGTACCTCATATGCAGGAATCCGAGATGATATTAATATGAAGTGTGGCTGGAAAGCATATGAAGGGCTGTTATCATTTTTATAAACTCCACACCGATTTTTCTTTGATAATAAAGGGTAGGAATGGCTTCCAGAAATATTGCTTCTATAGGAAAAAGAAGGAATAAGTGAAGTTTTCTCTTAATTTGACTTTGATAAGTGAGCACCAACATGTTCCCCGGGCATCAGTTATACTGTATCCAAGGCAGGTAGCCTCTGTACCTCAGTCTCTCCGTATGGTTTGGGGACAACAGGAAATGGGGCTCCCGGGTGGGGAAGGACCAAAGCTGCCCTGGGCCTCTCCTCCCCGACTTGTGGGCTACCAGAAAGGTCTCTAAGTAAGGAATTTACTTAGCTATTGTGGGGCACTTAAAACAAATGTAGTGACATACTTAGGGGTTCCAGATGACATTTTGAAAAGGAGCAGCTGAGAAATTTTAAATTTCTTAATCATCCAGGCCTCATAGCTTTCTATTCTCTCTGCAGCCACTCCCCACTCCCCACCCCCGCCAATATTACCATTTGGATATGCTTACTCCATAAAAATCATTTCTGGGAAAATAATTTTGCTTAATAACTTAAAGCAGAAAATAGACTACATCCTCAATATAGCCTCTTCGCAGGGTTAAAAATATTTAAAAGGTATATTTTGAATATTACATACTTCTCTCTTCAGAAGGCATGTAAAGACCACTGTTTTTGCTATTTTATAGGCTAAGAGCCATGTAATTATGCGAGATCCCTGGATGTTAGCTAAATTATTCTAGAATGAATTCTTGGTATCAGGGGATAGTCCTGAGCCTTCAGTAGATGGAGTTTTGCTTACCGCTTGGGCAAAGCTTCTAAGGATGCCAAAACAAGCTGTTTCTCCAAAGCCTCATGTAATCCCACTCGATCCCTCAGAGTCTGGGAGAGACGTGGCTGGTGTTTGGATTTGAACAATCTAGAGCAGCATGTTCCGCTCACCCAAGGGGGTCGAACTCTGAATAACTCCTCTGAAAAACAAACAGCAGCCAGCTCGGCTGTTTACTTCATGCTTCTCCCAGCCAAGTCTCCATAGATAAAAGCATCAAAAATAAAGCTGCAGCAGGGCAGATATTCCAAACGGCAATCGTTCGAGCCATTTTTACAGACTCTGTTTAGATTTCCTATCCTCTCAGCACTGTGGCTGCAACTTCCCTGTCATTTCAGGTCAAGAAACAAAGCTCAGAGAACAAGCAACTCTTTTCTTGTGGAAACATAATCAATTTGTAGACTTCATATCTATTTCTGCCCTTCTTCTTGGCTTCAAATTATTTCCCATTTGGTATGCTCTCACAGAGGGTGAGTTAGTGGAAAAAAAAAAAGATAGGAGAACTCAGATTAGTTTTATTGATTATTTTTCCACACTGTGCAAATCAGAAGACTTAGCTGAAAGCATGTCTCGTCCTATTCCCTTTCTACTTATAAAAAAAAATGTCACTTTTCTTCTGCTTTCGTTCTCATTTTATTTCTCCTTTTTTACCAATCCCAATTCTCCTGAATTGTCCCGAACCTATTTATTTGATTTTGCCTGTGTTCATACTTCTCTCGTCTCCTTATTTTTGGTCTTAATAACCTGAGAGGATTGAGAACAGCAATGGAGGCACACATATTTGACCTTATATATTTCATCTGAAATCTTTTTTTTCTTATTAACTAACTTAAAATATACAGTGAAGAAAAAAAGACCATGTCCTGAACATATTTCAGAAAATACCACCCACTATTCACTATTCCAGAAAGGCAGCATTATTTTCCTCTGTGCAAATTTGTATGTAAATTCATTGCTTTCTACACCACTTGGTTAAGATATAAAGTTTTAAAATGCCACTCACTCTTATGCAGTGCAATTTTCTCCCAAATTATTTTCCTTAGGCACTTTTCTCTTTGTCTCTCCTGTAGCTCCTCATCTGCTGTTTTGGGTTCGTTCAGGGTTCCGTAAATAGCAGCGGCTTCCCTAGGTGTCAGCCAATCTAAGTTGGACACACACGCCACATAATGCTGCTTCCAAGCCCCATATTCACGTTCTGTCGGCGTGTAGGGCAGAAACCATCCAACCTTGATGCATTTGGGCATCCATAAGCAATCCTGCAGAAAAAGAAATGAGAGAGTTGAGTTGCAGATCTTTTTAAAGGGCAGTTTCCTACTAACAATGTTTTTAGATACACGGAGAATTTTTTTTTTACTGCTTTGAGATTTTTAGTGCTGTTGCTCTGCCATCTAAACTTGACTATGAGAAATAAGAAGCATACCTTACTCCATAGGAAAAATATTCTTTGATGAACACATATATTACATATGAATAAATGTATTACTCATCTTTAAATACTATCCAGTGCTCCCATAGCATTTGGTTTCTGAGAACCCTGGATTCTCAGAATTCTGCTTCTAGCAATGGCGTAGTAGGTTGTTTCAAACCAGCCCTTCCACTGAGAACAACTTTGATTGAAACATATGATGTTGTCAATATGCAACCAGTTTCGACATATGAAAACAGCAAGTTTCCTGTGATTTAATTAAATTTCTAGACAAAATATTATAAAACAATTACTTGAGGTTATTATAGAGCTACCAATGCAATAAGGAACTGTGCAACCAGGACCCAGAGAGAAGGGAAAGCAGAGAGCTAAGCCCGATAGTTGGCATCACTCTCACTTCAGGGAATTTGACAGTTCTACAGTAGAGCTTAGGCTGAGAAGCAGAGCAGAAAGTTATGGCTGAAGGACTTAGAAGCTGTAAAGACTTCTAGGCATTCTCACAGGGAAGAGAGGAAACATTTAAACTCAGGAGCTAAGGGGAAAAGCCCTGGTAACTACATCAGGCTTTCAGCTGAGATCCTTTTCAGTAAGGATGATGAGAAACTAGATAAACCATCACAAGGACTGAGAGTAGTTTTTAGATATTCCATTCTCCAATTGGATTTAAGGGATCTGTTTCTAGTCTAACCAAATGCCAGAAGCAAGGGTGATTCCTTTCTGGAGGAAGATAATATCATCCAAAGACTCAAATTATCACATTAATTTCTTACACTCAGTATCTGGTACTCATTCAAAAGTACCAGGCACACAAAAAGACAAGCATTGTTTGTTTCTTCTTGTATCTTTTAGTAAATGGAGAGAGATCCTCAGGAGACCCAGACGTTGAAATTATAAGACATGAACTTAAATGGCTAGGTGGAAAATTTTGGCAGAATAATCAAATCAACATTCTAAAACTGAAAAATATGATGCTGAAATTTAGAACTCAATGGAACCGTTTAAGAGCAAATTAGAATCCAGCTAAAGAGATAATTAGGAAACTGAAAGACAGGTCAAAAGAAAAGTCCAGACAGAAACGCTGAAAGCCAAAAGGTTAGAAAAGATACATGAGAGAAGACAAAATGTATGGGGACTGGGGAACCACTCTAAAATGTAAGCGCTGGAATCCCAGAAGAAAAAGAGAGAAAATGAGGCAAAAGCAATATATAAATAGATAGTATCTCAGAACTTTTCAAGATGGATAAAGAACATTAAATTTCAGATTCCAAAAGCACTGCAAAACACAAAACAGGATAAACACACACACACACACACACACACACACGTAGGTACGTCATGATAAAATTGCAGAAAACAAAAAAGAGAGAAAAATATCCTAATAGCAGCTAGAGAAAATAGAAGACAATAAACTTTCTGCTTCTCAAAAAAAAAGTTATGAAAGCCAGAAAACAATGGAAAAATTTCAAAGTTCTATAAAAACTTAAGTGCCAACCTAGAATTCAAATTTCCAGTGACACAGCCTTCAAATATGAAGGTGAAATAAAGACATTTTTAGATTAAAAACTAAGAGAAATTGTCAGCAGCAAGCCACATTGAAAGAAATATTAAAGAGAATTCAAAAGGAAAATGATCCCAAATGGAAACTCAGAGATGCAGAAAGGTATAAAGAACAAGGAAAAAAGTAAATATGTGGTTACTTACGAATAAATATTGACTCTCTAAAACAATAGTAATAAAACCTTGCGATGTTAATATCTATATACAAATTTAAATGTGTTTGTATATTATATATAATTAAATATGTATAATTAAAATATTTGACAACAAAAGCATAGAAATGGGGGTGGTGAGGTGGTAGAGTTAAAGGGTTCTAGTTCCTTGCATTATCTCAGAAGTGGTAAAATAACTCTGGGATGAATGTTGTAATTTCTATGGTAACCATGAAATAACTAGTAGATAATTTATAGTGTGAACAACCTAAAAAATATTTAAGTACTCCAAAAGAAGACAAGGAGAGAAATAGAATATAAAACACATGGAACAAAAAGAAAACAAACAGTAACTAGTAAAATGGTGGACTTAAACCCAAATATATCGACGTGAACATACATGTGAACAGACTAAGTCACCCCAGCTGAAACTCAAAGATTGCCCAATGTTAACAAACCACCTCCATCAGCATATTGTTTACAAGACATATCCCTTAAATATGACATCAAAAATTTGGAAGTAAAAAGACATAAAACGATATGTCAGGCCAATACTAAACCTGAATCCTTAAATACTATAAGTTAAGGGCTCACAGTTGGCTTTTGCATATGGCCCAACCAGACAGGGAGGTATTCTCTGAGATCAGAATCTCAGCACAAGGCCACCCAGAAAAGTGTGTACAAGTTAAAGAAGTTATTGACTTGTATTTAAAGTATGTCTACCATTACATTTTATTAAATCTTTTAAAAGAAAATGAAGAGGTAAATAAGCCAGAGGCAGAATTAATGGCAGAGGATATTGAGGATCTAGATTTATGTTCTTCAGCTGATGCTAGCCAAGGAGAGATCAGTTGAAGTTGTGGTTGTATAGCAATTTTTGAGGTGAGTTATCATGGATAAGATATATCACATAAAAACCAGAGCTTAAATAATTTTTCATGGGAAAAAATGGACTTCTTTAGCCAAAATAAAATGTTTTCTAAAATGAGTATTTAAAGATTATTAAAATTACATGAATTATTAGAATACTGTATATCCCCTTACTTAAAATTATTATTTAAATTATCTTCATATTTTTTCTCTTAAGGGTAAGTTATTATGGTTCAGATCACCTCAGTTATTGTCCTCAGGGAAGAAAGCTACCCTAATTGCCTCATTACAGATTATAGTTGTACTTGAACCCTATTACTAGGAAGTGACAAGCAGTAAACCTGTTCAGTTAAAAACTTCCAGGGCCAGCTGACTTGTGCAGCTGCACACAAATCTTTCGGATTCAGAAAGGAAAAGATATAGAGAGAAATGAAGCGTGGTAACACTGTAGAGAAATCCACTTTGGCCACTTGCATCCTTTCTGAAAACTGGTCTCGGACAAATCTAAAAAGAAAGATACAGAAATTTAGTTTAGAACACTAGTACTTAAAATTGACTAAAAATCCAGTATAAATATTAGCCATTGTTCTTTCTCCAATGTTCTACCTGTAAAAAAAAAAAAAAAAACTTAAATCCCAAATAACATAAGTCTCTAGATTTAAAAATACTGTATTTACTTTCAGTGATCCGTTCTAAACAATCTAGATCTAAAGTCTAAAATTTCTAAAATCCATGGGAAAAAAATCTGAAATCTAGTTCTTTACGCTATAGCTGTTTTGTTTTGTTTTTTCCTTTTTGCTTTACCCCAAATTCAATAAATCAGCAAGTCCTATCAGCTTTACCTACAGAATATAGCCCCAAACCCTGCCCCCGCCCTCATCTCCACTGCTATCACTCTGGTCCAAAGCACCTCCATCTCTCTGCTCTACTATTGCAAAAGCCTCCTGATGGTCTCCCTGCTTCCACTTTAGTTTTCCTAGAGCCCATTCTCCTTAGAGCAGCCCTAGCGGTTTTTAAAAAATACAAATTAGGTAATGTCACTCAAGCAAGTAAAAACTTACAATGGCTTCCCAATGCAATTAGAATAAACACCTCTGGCTAAATCATACTTAGCGGTGAAATATTAAATGCCTTCTCACTAACATCAGGAATAAAGTAAGAATGTCCACTCTCACTACTTCAGTTTAATGTGTACTGGACATCCTAGCCAGTTGAACGAGACAAGAAAAAAATAAAAGGCATACATGTTAGGAAGGAAGCAGTAAAACTTCTCAATTTGTCTACCATGTATGTAGAATCTACAAAATAATTACAAACAACTATGGAATCTACAAAACAACTAATTGTTAAATTTATTAGTATGAAGTTATTGATGATTTTCTTTTATTCACTTTTTAATGTTTGTAAGATCTATAGCAAGACCCCTTTTTCATTTGAGTTTTCTCTTTTTTTCCTTTGTTACTCTTGCTAGTAGTATATCAATTTTATTACTATTTTCCAAAAACCAGCTTTCGTTTACTTAGATTTTCTCTATTGTTTGTCCATTTTCTATTTTATTGATTTCCACTATTATTTTTTTCCTTCTACTTACTTTGGGTGTAGTTTGCTATTTTTTTCTAGTTTCTTAAGGTGAAAATTTAGATAATTTTAAATCCTCTTTCTTCTCTACTATAAGCATTTAAATGACACACTTTCCTCCAGCAGTGCTTTAGCTGCATCCCACACACTTGGATATGTTGCATTTTCATTATCATTCAATCTGAAATATTTTCTAATTTCTCTTGTGACTTCTTCTTTGACTATAGGTTGTTTATAAGTAAGTTAATTTTCAAATATTTGGGGATTTTTAAGATATTTTAATTATTCTCAAATTTACTGGATTGTTGTTAAAGAATATACTTAAGATTTCAACAATTCTGAAATATATTGAGTCTGATTTTGGGGACTATTAAATGATGTATCTTAGTGAATGTTATTTTGTTCCTAAAATGAACATTTATTTGTAAGTTGTTGGTTTTCTGTAAATACTAGGTCAAGGAGATTAAGAAAATTCCTCAGTTCTTCTATATTTTTTGTTTAGTTGTTCTATTAATTAATTGTCAGTTTTGTTTCATTTTTGAAACTACAATTTGGTACGTGCTTGTTTATAATTGTTGTGACTTCTTGATGAATTGATCCTTTTTTCATTATAAAATGTCCCTCTCTGTCTCTCCGGTAATATCCTTTTGTCTTGAAGTCCATTCTAGCTGATATTGATATTGCCACCCTGCTTTTATATGCTTACTATCTGCATGTGATATCTTTTCCTGTGTTTTTACTTTTAGCCAGTCAGTGTCTTTATATTGAAAGCATATTCCTCAGCCCCCGTTGTCAGGATACAGTAAGATCTTGTTTTTGTTTTTTAGCTCCTTTGACAACCATTGCCTTATTTGAGGGTTTAGTCCCCTTATATTTAATATAATTATTGATATGGTTGAATCCAAGTCTCATTGTTATTTGTTGTTTGGTTATCCCATCTGTTTCATGAAAATTCACTTCTCCTCTCCTGCCTTGTTTTGAATTAATAAGTTTTTTGGTATTTCATTTTAATTCCTTTGCTGGCTTTTTAGAATACCTCTAGCATTGCTCTTTTAAATTGCTGCTAGGAAGTACAATATGCATCTTGAATTTTTCATGTCTATTTAGAGTTCATATGCACATAAAATTAAAGGACAGTGCAACAGTATAGTTTTCACTGTCCTTTGTGATTTTGTTTCATATATACTGAGTCTACTTAAGTTATAATCCCCACAATATATTGTTTTCACTTTAAAGTCATATGTCTTTAAAGTGACTTAAACTTTTTATATTTTC